TTTTTCGCAACATTTTGCCCCACATTGGGAGTTTTGAATAAATATCGGGTACTGAACAACACTTCGAACGCAAAAAATACTCAATACTCAGTTGCCTTTAAACAACATTTTATTATGTCACACTACACTTTCATTACAATATATATATTTAGAAAGCTCAAAAATGTTACGCATTGAAGGATGTCAATGACGATGCCAGGGGAAATTTAAGCCGTCGATGGTTATTTCTCTTTTATCTCTCTTATTTCCGTTAACCTTTGGTAAAGGTATCCTAATGAGTTCACTCGCTCCATTTAAGGGGTTCGGATTCCGGAATCCGGCAAATTTTGGAATCCGGAATCCAGACTGCTCCACCGCGTGTAACCCAAAATCTAAGAATGTCTTACATACCCTTACATTGGGGCAAGTTCAACCTTCTTGCTGTGTTGGGCGTCCCGTTCTAGTTCTTGAGCTCAAATCATGCATGCTATGTCCAAGTTGCGACGTAGAAATCTCCCCGGTCCGCCAAGATTATCATTGATTTCAATGTTGTGATTACGCTATTTGAAAGGGTATATAATTTGCTGAGTAATAATTAAAGGTTTCTTAATACATGAACAAGTAAAAACTAACGCAGATAAAATCAAACTACGTGCAAAAATTGTAAATTTAAGCTATAAGAATAAAGAGCCAAGGTATGGGTACCTGCGGAAGTCGATTTCGTCTCTTGTCTTAGATCAAATCGTCAGTTTTTCATGCGAAATCGTCGCACATCAAGAATTGTTTTGAGTGGCATTTAGCGCTACTAGCGAGCTCAGCGCAACCAAAACGACGATGGAAACGAGAAAATATAAAAAAGCAACAGGTTAATAAGCACAGTAAAACACTGAACGTGCAGCACACTATTTTGCAGACGTCTTTGCAGTTATTGCACAACTAACGCTGACTTGTCAAACTTTATTGAAATGGCAATGCGATCGTCGCTTTAATCTTTACCATCGTCGCTTTATCAACTTGAGCGATCGTCGCAATTTCGATGTCGTCGGAAATACCCACACAGAGGCTCAATTTAGTTCCAAATGAATATAATTTTAAACTCTACATATAACCTGATGCTAAAATTTCACATAAAACCCTTTACCTTTCCTGCTTGGATTTTATAATCCTCTAGTCTTACGACTTCCCGATATTTGACTACTTTATTTAAACCTTTTATCGCTAGTACACACGGGTTAACGTTATTATACACCTATAGTCTTGAACAGCGAGAGTAAATTTAGCCGGCCTGCGTAGCAAGCGTTTCAGCGCGAGTTCGTCGAGAACTCGATTGGAAACGCTTGCTACGCAGGCTAGAGTAAACTCTTTGTTTGAAAAACTTGAACACGGTCTTCTATATAGAGCGGTTTTCACTTGACTGTCGAAAGGGAAACCAAAACCAAAACCAAAACCAAAATGATGCGGGAAACCAACCGATCACATAAATGAAACCAAAACCAAAATGCTGTCAGTTCACTTTTGGCGTCTATGCTGTTCCTGTAAAACTTTATGGTTATCAAGCTAAAGTTATTTCTTATCTAGCGCATGTCTGGTAAATATAAAAGAGCAGTGTATTATTGCTAATAAACAGTTTTCTTATATATTTTTTCCTGTCCACACGTACTTTATTCATTGATCGAACCCTATTCGTTCTGTTTCATAACGATACCAACCCCTTTGAATAGACAGTTAGGGGGCCTCAATGGGGTGGTAGCTTTGACGGTTGACGGTTAAATTTCAGAGCTTTTAACGGTTTACGGTTATTAAGTGGAATTTTAGTCCAAGAGTTTAAGTAAATGTTAACTTCTGTCTGTTGTGTTTTGGAGGTTGTCTTGGCCTTTCACTTATAAAATTTCGAAACATATTAAGATATAAGCAAGTTATGTTGTTTTGTAATGTCTAGAAAGAGTCTTTTTTGAGCCGCCATGGAAACTGTTATTTTTTCCAGTTTAGAAATAGAACTGGGCCATAATCGCTTTAAGATCAGCAGAAATAGTGCGATTTGAAATACCTTAGAACTTTTTTACCTGCATTCAGTTTTTGACGGTTGACGGTAAAAATAACCTTTTTTGACGGTTAAATCTCTCTAGGCCATTAGATGGCTGATCGTTAAACCCCATTGAGATTCTCATGATCAGTTAGGTGCGTTGTTCCGCAATTTGCTTATTCATCTAAAATGGTTACCTTAACTTAGGCTTAGCGCGGTTATGAGTTTGTCAGCTTTACAGGGCAATCAGTCCTTTCCAGTGGGAATGGGGACAATGGGGACTAATAAATAGGTTACCTTTTATAGGGAGCTAATAGCCTTAGCCTGTGTTATAAATAGAACCATAGATACCGGCCTGTTCCTCTTTCTTTCTGGGCGATCCTTCTTTTCAACAATTATTGAATGAGGCTGAATATGATGAGAAGAATTATTCAGGAAAGTAGCGTAAGCTTTTGAAGTTGTACGCACGGGAAGAAAATGTAGATCACCGAAGGCGCCCCAAACTAGGGCGGTCTGGTAGCATGCTCCCCCAGAGAATTTTCAGTAGATAAATACGAAGGAAAATGCAACAGCTAGTTATTTATATTACCCATCTCTATTGTTATCTGTAAGGTGCAATGCTTACGAGAAAAAAAGGATACAGTACCCTTCAGACGGACAAGGACACCAATATAGTGAGAAAAATTTACCAGTTTTCCCGATTTAATGATTAAAATTCTTTGAGGAAGCAATTTTTTTTCCAGATTTCAGCTGTACGCACAGGCGTATTTGCGTATATGGACGGTACGCTACTGTTATGCAGATTGAGGAGCATGTTATCTAACGTGGCCGAAGGCCGGTTGGAGGTGCAAGATAACAGCCTAGTAGGTACTAGATCAGCACAATTCTTCACATCATTCGATAGACGAATTCAACATTTCTTTTATCATTCCGTTCAAACTAAGTTCTTAAAAAGCTAGGACCTCCTCGTAGATCGTAGACTCTCTAAAACTTTAGCCTATTTTTCCGAGCTGTTTCTGGGCATAAACAGATCTATTTTTCTAACAGAAACTCCTTAAAAAGTATATAAATATCTTCCAAATATGACAGAGCCAGTTGGTTATGAAGAATTATTAGTCAATGGATTGAATGAATAATAATCCTCCTTGTAAATACATAAAACTAATCATGACTAATTATCAACCAAAGTAGTAGTTTATGTTGAACTGTTTAATATTGTCCTGAAGGGCGAAATTGTTCAGTGCTGATATCAGTGTTCAGTAGGCCAAAAAACGTTAACCCTGATGATCATAGACTTGAATTTGACTACATGACAAAGAAACGTTTAAAAAAAAGGCGATGCCAAGTACACGACGTTGGTGATCATAGCCGTGACAAAATGGACCAAATTCCTTAATCGGACATCGTGCTTGCACGATAATAGTGCGTAAATGATAAACGTGTATCGAGTCTGAGTTCCACTGATGGCCGACAGGTGTATAGATCGTGCCTTCATCGTGCATTGAACCAGTCTTAACCGTGCTTTATCGAGCCCTAGAGCGTGCTTTTATCAAGCCTTAAGATGATGCTGCACGAGACAATTCGCATCGACGATTTTTAGCGCAACACACTGTTGCAACATCGTTGCTACATTATTTCGAATGGTTACAACATTGTTCCAATATTGCAACGCTGCGTTGCGGTAAAAATAGTCGTTGCGAGTCGTCCCGTGTAAATGTATCGTGCGTTTAAAGACCGCGCTCTTATGGAACCTTTTGATATCCCGCGCATCAGATCGTGCCTTTTCCCTAGAGGCAGTTCGGTGCTCATTTCTCGAATGTTGTCGTGTAGTGTGGTGTGACTATTTACATTGTTTTTTGAGTGCGTTGCGAGCAAAAAGGGAGATAGTGGAGGAGATGACACGTCAAAGAGTCGATTGCCTCCGTTTGCTTGGCTTTGCTAAGCCACTTCCACGGCACTTTTGCGTGAATGTAGCCGATACCTTAAGTTTGGAAACAGAGTGAAGTGAAATTGGTCAGTGTAAATCGCGCATTGCACATAGCAGATTACAGACTGGTTATAAACGCAACGCAGTTTTTACGAGCCTTGTTTGAACGTCCACATCGAAGTTACAATCCCGTGCGAGGGTACGTTGGGTTGCTTAAAGGTGTTATCGTGCATGTCTTTGTGCTAAAATGGTGCCCTTTTTCGTGCATAAAAGGTGCCGTTATTTATATGGTTAAATGATGCCTCACCGGGACAAAGACACGATGCTCGAAATGACAGAGAACATAAGCGAAATATCACACCATTGGAAAGAGCGTCTTCGAAATTACTGCAAGCTTACTAAGTTTTTGCCAAATATTTCAGAAGCAGGCATTTCTAGATTTTGCAGAATGTTTGTGCCCCTCACCAAACAAACGTTTGTGAAATGCATTGAGTCTGAAGTTTGTTTTCCGGCAACACTACTCCAACTGGTCCGATGTCAAAAATGGAAAAAAATTGTGTAAGAATCAAGTGATTGCAAGCCGAGAGGCTCTTGTTGATTGTGGTAAGATAACACGAGTTTTGTCAACTAAAGGGGATTCAGTTACTAAATTTTCTACCGTCTAGTCTTTGGAATTGTCTACTTGTTTACAAATCTGTAAGGAGGATAGGATAATTTTAAGAGGTTCAAGTTTTTTCCCAAAAATACGTCTTTTACGGTTTCTTTCAGCCGCAGGGAAAAATCGCTTAATTGGGAAAACAAAAAACAAAAACAAAAAAAACTGTTCACTTATCATAAATATCCCGACTGCAATGCAAGCTGATTTGGAATGAAATAAAAAGTTAACTACCGATAGAAAAGCAGTAGTTTTTCTTTTAGGTTTTACTTAATGGATGATTAATTGATAAGAAACATGCCGTTAACTACCTGTAAAGTAATATTTTCAAACTACAACTGTTACACCGGCTTACTGTAATATTTATTAAAAGACTAAGGGCAAAACCTGACCGAATGTGATTTAGAAGTTGTCTTTTAGGTTGTTTCGTAAAATGTTTCTATTTCGTCTGGAGTAAAAGAATGAGTGCCTGCCAGAAATGTGTTGGTGTAGCTGTTCCCACTTGGTGGGCTGTAAGTATGACCAAGGCTGGTACTGTAACTGCCACCAGATGGCGAGTAGTCGCCAATGTAAATGTCATGGCCTCCTCCAAATACAGGTCCATAAGACGAGCAGTCGTATATGGAGTAGGCATTGTGCGAACTATACTGCCCTGTCTGAGGCAGTTTCACAGGTGCCCATCCTGGTTTGTTAACCAGCGAGAAAAGAAACGCCTGGGAATCATATCGATACCCGGGGCAACTGCTGTTACCTGTTAGGAAAATAAGAAAAGAAAAAAGCTGATAGAGATACAGACCCTAATGTAAATTCCTCGTTTTGGTAATAAAGGGACTAAATTATAAAATGCTTTATCGTCTTAAGTTTTTCATGTCCAGTCACAGGCTGCTAGCGGTAGCCGCGAATCTAGCTCGACATAATCATAATTATCATTCGAGGCAAATTTTTCTTTCTTTTCATTGGCCGAGAGCCCACCACGTGAACTGCAAATAACTGCATACAAATAATGGTCTGCTCATGCGCAATGCCGTCCAACTGTGTTTGGCTTTCACCCGCGAAAAATGTCTACGTATGCTCTGCAAAAAGTGATATGTGGTCGATTTCGGGTAATTATAATGTCATTGGCTCCGAGGCGAAAATGCCCGCGAAATGTTTTTTAGAGGAAAGGAGCGATGGCAGCTTGTTTTGGCAGTGACAGCGTTGCGATTTCTTGCCACTGTAAGAGATCAAAAATTATTTTGGTCAAAGTTTTGACGTAAGTGTGTTCTCTGGAGAATATAGCGTCCTGAAGCTGACGAAAAATTGCATTGGCTTGGTCTGATTCAGTGTTATTGACGTTGAGATCGCTGGTTTGCATGTGGAAGGCCTTGCCGAAAAGGTGGGTAATTTTTGCTCTTTTTGTTCACTGCATGTTCCGTGCAACTCGGTACAAAAAGAAATTATAAAGCAGCGGAAGAAAAATTATTGGGCTTTGTTTTGGTATATAAATTAGTTTGTACCGAGTTGCACGGAAGCGACAGTTTTGTTAAAGGGACTGGTTCACGATAATGCGCATGCGCGCCGTTTTTCTCTTCAGAATAAATTTGTTGGGTCAACACTAAATTCGAAATCGCCATTAGCGGTACAATCTTTGAAAATCCTTCGTTTTATTCGGAC